TCATCCCATTCATGCTATCGTTCTTGTTACTTCCCCAGATCTCATCAACAATTATCGAGTGTAACCGTCTGTGAACGTTTCAACTTACACGATACATCGACATCAAACACACAGATCACCAATCACACTGTTCAAAGATCAAATACTACTTAATAATATCAAGCTCACTTGAGCTTAGCCATTGGCAATACACCCCCAACCATGGCACAACAACGAACCGACACACGAGACTCAACAGGCTCCTCTATCACAATGAACGGCAGAGCCTCATCAGAACAATGGGAGGCCGGCTTCGCCCCCATCAACACCGGCAAGAACAATGGCGACTCATCAGACGACAATGCCACCCTGTCCAGCCCTACGAGAGATACCCACCGCGACACCATGATGATTGAGGAGGAGGACAGGAGAGAGCTTCAGAGAATCGCAACCACCCTGTCACGGCGCCAGAGCGGCGTCAGCTTCGGCGAGCCGCAACTCTCCAACATCGCAACCAACGATCCCTCTCTCGACCCCACTAGTAAGTCCTTCGACCTCTCAAAATGGCTGCAGAGGATCATGCAGCAGATGTCCAACGAGGGCATCAGCATCAAGAAGGCCGGTGTCGCCTACAAGGATCTCAACGTCTCCGGAACAGGTGCCGCCCTGCAGCTCCAGCAGACCGTGGGCTCATTCCTCGCGGCGCCCCTGAGGATCGGCGAGCACCTGAGCTTCGGCAAGAAGGAGCCGAAGAGGATCCTCCACAACTTTGATGGTCTCCTCAACAGCGGCGAGCTTCTGATCGTTCTGGGCCGTCCCGGATCCGGATGCAGTACCCTGCTCAAGACCATGACCGGTGAGCTTCACGGTCTGAGCTTGGGACACGACTCTGTCATCCACTACAACGGTATCCCTCAGAAGAGGATGGTCAAGGAGTTCAAGGGCGAGACTGTCTACAACCAAGAGGTTCGTCGCTTCATCCACTATCTCATTTCTGACATCTAGCTAACGCATCTTTCACAGGTTGACAAGCACTTCCCCCATCTCACGGTCGGCCAAACCCTCGAGTTCGCCGCCGCCGTCCGCACACCCTCCAAAAGACTCCAGGGCATGACCCGCGATGAGATGTCCAAGAAGGCCGCCCAGATCGTCATGGCCGTCTGCGGTCTCAGCCACACCTACAACACCAAGGTCGGCAACGACTTCGTCCGCGGCGTCTCTGGCGGTGAGCGCAAGCGTGTCAGTATCGCCGAGATGATGCTCGCCGGATCCCCCATGTGCGCGTGGGACAACAGCACCCGCGGCCTGGACTCCGCGACCGCTCTGAAGTTCGTCCAGGCTCTCCGCCTCGCCTCCGACTTCACCGGCAGCGCCAACGCCGTCGCCATCTACCAGGCCTCCCAGGCCATCTACGACCTCTTCGACAAGGCCGTCGTCCTCTACGAGGGTCGCCAGATCTACTTCGGCCCTGCCAGCGCTGCCAAGGCGTACTTCGAACGCATGGGATGGGAGTGCCCTCAGCGCCAGACCACCGGTGACTTCCTTACCTCCGTCACCAACCCCCAGGAGCGCCGTGCCCGCCCAGGCATGGAGAATCAGGTCCCTCGCACGCCTGAGGACTTTGAGATGTACTGGCGTCAGTCCCCTGAGTACGCCGCTCTCCGCCAGGAGATTGAGCTGCACCAGGAGGCCTACCCCATGGACTCCAACAGCCAGGCTCTCACCGAGATGCGGCAGATGAAGAACGAGAGGCAGGCGAAGCACGTCCGCCCCAAGTCTCCCTACACCATCTCCATGACGATGCAGGTTGGCCTGACCACCAAGCGCGCCTACCAGAGGATATGGAACGACATGTCGGCAACAGCAACATCCGCAGTCATCAACCTCATGATGGCTCTCATCATCGGCTCGGTCTTCTACGGCACTCCTGACTCTACTTCCGGTTTCTACGCTAAGGGCTCTGTTCTCTTCCAGGCTATCCTCATGAACGCTCTCACTGCCATCTCCGAGATCAACAGTCTCTACGATCAACGTCCAATCGTCGAAAAGCACGCCTCTTACGCCTTCTACCATCCTGCCGCTGAAGCCATCGCCGGAATCACTGCAGATATCCCGATCAAGTTCATCACGGCAACAACCTTCAACCTCGTGCTCTACTTCCTCGCCGGACTGCGACGTGAGCCTGGCCAGTTCTTCCTGTACTTCCTGATCACCTACATCTCCACCTTCGTCATGAGTGCCGTTTTCAGAACAATGGCTGCCATTACCAAGACCGTGTCGCAGGCTATGATGCTTGCTGGTGTCCTGGTCCTAGCTCTCGTCATCTACACCGGCTTCGTTGTTCGCGTTCCCCAGATGGTCGACTGGTTTGGCTGGATCCGATGGATTAACCCCATCTTCTACGCCTTCGAGATCCTCATCGCCAACGAGTTCCACGGTCGCGAGTTCACCTGCTCGGAAATCATCCCCTCGTACACCCCCCTCAACGGCGACTCCTGGATCTGCTCTGCCGTCGGCGCCATCGCTGGCCAGCGCACTGTTAGCGGCGACGCCTTCATCAACACCAACTACCAGTACTACTACTCCCACGTCTGGAGGAACTTTGGCATTCTGCTCGCTTTCCTGTTCTTCTTCATGATCATCTACTTCGTCGCCACCGAGCTCAACTCCGCCACCACCAGCTCCGCCGAGGTCCTCGTCTTCCAGCGCGGCCACGTTCCCGCCTACCTCCAGGACGGCGTCAACCGCAGTGTTTCCAACGAGGAGATGGCCGTCCCGGTCAAGAGCAAGAACAGCGAGCCCGATGCCAACGTCAGCTCCATCCCGCCCCAGAAGGACATCTTCACCTGGAGGGACGTCGTCTACGACATTGAGATCAAGGGAGAGCCCCGTCGGTTGCTTGATCACGTCGACGGCTGGGTCAAGCCTGGAACTCTTACTGCTCTCATGGGTGTCAGTGGCGCCGGTAAGACTACTCTTCTCGATGTCCTCGCTCAGCGCACTACTATGGGTGTCATCACTGGTGACATGTTCGTCAACGGCAAGCCTCTCGACGCCAGCTTCCAGCGCAAGACTGGCTACGTTCAGCAGCAGGGTAAGCAGCCTCTTCCTCACCCCCACTCAAACATAATTGCTAACATCTCCCAGATCTCCACTTGGCTACCGCAACCGTCCGTGAGAGCTTGCGCTTCAGCGCCATGCTCCGCCAGCCCAAGACCGTCAGCAAAGAGGAGAAGTACGCCTTCGTCGAAGAGGTCATCGACATGCTCAACATGCGCGACTTCGCCGACGCCGTCGTCGGTGTCCCCGGTGAAGGCCTCAACGTCGAGCAGCGCAAGCTCCTCACCATCGGCGTCGAACTCGCAGCCAAGCCTAAGCTTCTTCTGTTCCTCGATGAGCCTACTAGTGGTCTCGACTCCCAGAGCTCCTGGGCTATCTGCGCCTTCCTCCGCAAGCTTGCCGACGCCGGCCAAGCCGTCCTCTGCACCGTCCACCAGCCCAGCGCTATCCTCTTCCAGCAATTCGACCGTCTGCTCTTCCTTGCCCGTGGCGGCAAGACTGTGTACTTTGGCGATATCGGCGACAACTCGCGCACTCTTCTGAACTACTTCGAGTCCCACGGTGCTCGCAAGTGTGACGACGATGAGAACCCTGCCGAGTACATGCTTGAAATTGTCAACAACGGCACCAACTCGCGCGGAGAGGACTGGCACAGCGTCTGGAAGTCGAGCGAAGAGCGCACCGGTGTCTCTGCCGAACTCGAGCGCATCCACCTCGAGAAGGCCAACGAGCAGGTCGCCGGCACCGAGGAAGCTGGCGCTCACTCAGAGTTCGCTATGCCCTTCACCACCCAGCTCACCGAGGTCACCGTCCGCGTCTTCCAGCAATACTGGCGCATGCCCAACTACGTCTTCGCCAAGTTCGTTCTCGGCATCGCCGCCGGTCTCTTTGTCGGCTTCTCCTTCTACAAGGCCAACGGCACCATGGCCGGCATGCAGAACGTCGTCTTCGCCGTCTTCATGATCATCACCATCTTCTCCACCATCGTCCAGCAGATCCAGCCGCACTTCGTCACCCAGCGATCCCTCTACGAGGTCCGCGAGCGCCCCAGCAAGGCCTACTCCTGGAAGGCCTTCATGTTCGCCAACATCATCGTCGAGATCCCCTACCAGATCGTCACCGGCATCCTGATCTTCGCCTGCTTCTACTACCCGGTCATCGGCATCCAGAGCTCCGTCCGCCAGGTCACCGTCCTGCTCTTCGCCATCCAGCTCCTCGTCTACGCCTCCTCCTTCGCGCACATGACCATCGCCGCCTTCCCCGACGCCCTCACCGCCTCCGGCGTCGTCACCCTTCTCGTCCTCATGAGCTTGACCTTCTGCGGTGTCCTGCAGTCTCCCACTGCCCTCCCCGGCTTCTGGATCTTCATGTACCGCGTCTCACCGTTCACCTACTGGGTCGCCGGCATCGTCTCCACCCAGCTGCACGGCCGTCCCGTCACTTGCTCCGCGGACGAGACGTCCGTCATCAACCCGCCCGCCAACCAGACCTGCGGCGAGTACCTCGCCGACTACCTCAAGATGGCGCCCGGCCAGCTACAGAACCCCGACGCCACCGAGTCGTGCCGGTACTGCTCGCTCAGCAACGCCGACCAGTACCTCTCCGGCAGCAATATCTTCTACGACGAGCGCTGGCGCAACTTTGGCATCATGTGGGCCTTCATCTTCTTCAACATCTTTGTTGCTGTTGTGTCTTACTACCTTGTCCGCGTCAAGAAGTGGAACTCTGGCTCGTCCAAGACGAAGAAGGAGTCCAAGGGAAAGGGTCCCGCCACTCAATGAGTGCGATCCTGGAATGATTACAGATCAATGAGGACATAAAGTGTCCAGATATAAGCTCTAATAGTCTTTTACAAATTCATGTAGCGAGCGTTGCTTTTTAAGGAGGTATCCCATCATTAGTATAGAATAAACAAGACTTTCCATCAGACGCTTCCTTCATTTGTGTGCCCTACAATTATGCTATATTATGGCAATTCTTTCTTTGCGCCAAGTTGAGAAGAAGCCTGGCGAAAGGAAGCTCGACAATGATTCCTTGCCCAACTTGAGAACCATCAGCCCAACTCTTTCAAACGCACGCGGTCGGGAAACTGATCGCCCGAGCACCAGCACGTAAGCATACTTTTCGTAGTTTTCTATGCGCCCGAGATATCCTGTGGTCAAAAGCAAGCACCAGACGGGATATTCAACCCCTTCTTGTCGATAGTTCGCACTGGAAGATGTGCCTCGGATAGCGGTATCGACAATCTCGCCATTCAGCTCAACATCGGCAGTTCCTAGAAACGAATCTGCATAGAACTCCCCAGCGGGCCATTCAGTCAAAAAGTAGTGCCGGCCCTCCTGCGACGGCGGTGGATTGTGGAGATATTTTGCAGTGACCTTGATCAGAAGACCTTCCAGGATGACATATCCGCTTTCCACAGACCCGAAGGGATTAACCTCAAAGGCCGCAGTGCATTCTGCTTCGATGACTTGGCAAGGCTCCGTGTGTCTCAATGATTCAACGAAGGAGGATTTCCACCAGGAAACGGCACCGTCGATAGAAGCCCAACTCCATGACGGCGCGTTAGGACATCCCCTTGACTCCTCTACCCGAGATCTGTTCCAGCTTAGATCATGAACCAGTTCCCTCCTCCACAATCCCGCGAGGAACTCGTCATCCACCCGCTCTTGGAAGACTCGGGAGATCGCCGACAAAGCGACCAGCTTGTCCGCTTGGAAGGTAAGCTTGCGCCCTGAATAGGGTGTGACTACCGATTTCCTCCATTGACGATGGAAATGATGGGCATCTTGCGTCGACATTCCATCTCCTTTGGAGTGTATTCCCACCGAACCCCTAAACCTCCAGCTGTTATTCCCTTCTATACCCACTTGGGATTTTCTGAGGTCGAACTCGTCGCATTCGCAGTCTTCAAGTGAGCGACACGCCCACTGGAGCTCAAACTCGCCGAATGAAACGAAGCGCTTCGCCACAGCCCTCTCTTGGAATGCCCATCCCCGCTCTGACAATGGACCGTCAAAGTTCGCCGAGAACAGCGCCTTGCTGTGGTCCAACACCGGCCGATAGTGAATTTTGCTGAATTTGCGCGGGCTCGCTGAGCAGGGAACCGTCACGCTGCCACGGATATGAGTGCGGCGGCCCAGGAAGCCCTTCGTACCGTCAGACGCAGACGATGCTCCCAGAACCAGATAGGCGAAACCATAGACGTCAGCCATCCTGGCGGCTTCGTGCTCCCAGTCCAGGACGTCGTCTTGCACGATGCAGAGGGAGTCGATCCAGATATATCGCATGCCCAGATATCGTGTCACGGCGACGGCATCTTTGAAGGTTTGCGGCATGCTGCTGAGATCGATCCCGCCCTGATGCAGCCCGATGTTCATCTTCAAGGTTCTGAGTGGCTGAGATGCCCCCCAGCAGTGGCTTAATGCAATGTACCTTTCGTCTTTTTGCGACAGGTTTGCCGTGATGACAAGCTTTGGGGCGTTGGCGGTGACATCGAGGACTCTGGTCGGAAGAGGGTGGTCTGAAGGCGAGCAATCGGTGTGTGAAGCCTGACAATTTTCCATCCAATGTTTCAAAAGAAGAAGGCATTCTTCTGAGCCAGCAGTGTCCGACATGTCACGGTTATAAGGGATACCCTCCCATGGAAACCGAGAATCTAGTTCAAGGATAAGTACAACGTGCATTTATGCCGAGTTCACTTGCAGGAAAACCTTCATAAAGAATTGCAACATACCGGGAAAGTTGTAAAAGAAGATTGTCTCCCGCTCAGCTGGAGGCGTGTTCATGTCTGGCGTATTGGGGCCCAGGAGGAATTGTTTGCGACCGTCGCGAGCGTTGCGACTGTACACAGCAATTTTGCCTTTGTCAAGGTCTGCAAAGTCGATCGCGTGCTTTGTCTTGAGCTCATTTTGCAGAGCGACGATGAGATGACAGAAGTTGCAGTATAGGGAAGCATCGGTCCAGGTCCTTAGGCCGTGCTCACGACTTAGGTTCGAGGTACTTTCTGGCTTGAAGCCGCAGGTATCACATCCATTGGTCCTGCGGCCATAGAATGGATTCACATGGCGTCTGATGTGGTCAGGGATCTGGAAGGATGCATGTGGGTTCGGCCGAGAAGACGCCATGTCGCGGTTTGTGAACGGAGCTACCGGCGGAGGAAATGTTTCCCAACTGCCGGATCACCTCTTTTCTTCTGGGTCAGCTGACTATGTTTTGCAGAATGATGTAATCCGTGGGGCTTTTTGTATCGACTGGGGGGTTTTGGCAGCCGAGTAAATGGTTCGACTTGTTGGTGCCCTGTGATTGAGCACCAACAGGACTGGGGCTTGCCAAGCTGGGGTTCTCATCGCCGAATTTCGTGAACATCAGGCAATTCACTGTATACAACATCACAAGATCATATTAATATATTTGTTCGGAGTGCGATTCAAGGTCATCAATGCCAAATTGGGCAGACACTGTACACCAACAAAGGTAATGATGGGTTAAATTCTCAGGCTTGGTTCATGGTTTACGATGTTACTTGAGACAGACCTCACTTGTCAGGTGACACTTATCTCACCTGCCCTGCGAATGCTTGGTTTGCCTGATCACTTACCGCTACTCAGTCTCGCAATATCCCGGTAGCATCAGAGACCAAATATTCGAACCTTCAAATCACCAGACATCACCAGCAAATTCACAGCACCACGTGAGAGGTAGCGCACGGCGCAATCTCATTTTAGAGGTCTTCGACGCTGGACTGTCTCAAATTACATCTTTTGAACTCCGCCATCGCCATCCCGACATAAGTCGTCCCGCACGAAGCTATTCCGTAGGTTCCCACAGAGATGTTCACGTCTATACGGCCTCGCATCTATTTGCCGCCCTTCTTGGCCTATAATTGCATCAGTCTCAGATTCTGTTGCCTCAGGGCATGTGCAGAGACTTACGGCTTGCTTGTTCTTCTCATTCTGCTTGCGGCCGTCCTTGAACTCGCCACCAAGCTTGTTGAGGGTGGCGTTGTCCTTCTTAGGGTTGCCGGTCAGGCCCTTGGCTTGCTTAGACTCCTTTGCTTGGGCACCTTGAACCTAAAGTTCCAATATTAGTACTGAGATCGCATGGTTTGCATTTCCGAGATATCTCACCTTCTTCAGGCCATCGTTCAGTTGCTTGTTCTTGGGGTCGGCGTTCTTCTGGTTCTGAGCACGTTGCTTCTGTCCAGCCTTGATGTCTTTTTGGAGGTTGGCCTTCTCCTTAGGGAAGTTCTTGGTTCCCTCAGCCTTCTGAACCTTCTTCACATCCTTGGATTCGTTCTTCTGGATGTTGATGTTCTTGTCGATGCCCTTGACCTCCTTGGAAGTTGACTTGGAGCTACCCTTGTTGCCGCCACCACCCTTCTTGCCGCCGTTATTGGCCCGCGCCTCTAATGCCTCAAGAGCTTCTCCATCCGCCTGTGCAGGTACTGGCAGGGCAGCGACGAAGGAGAAGAAGAGGAAGATGGAGAGGATGAGCTGAGTGAAACGCATTTTGAAAGGTTTCTAAAGGAGGACCGAGTGGTATTAATGATAAACCAATAGGATTAGATGATGAGGGACCAGCCGATGGATGCAAGACGTGAAAGACGTGAAAGCCTGATGAGAGTGTTGCGTATTCCCGAGGAGATGGGCGATTTCCGGGTCATATATATAGAGAATCCGTTGACTGTCCCGAGATCACCATTTGCGAGTCATCATCTCTAATGGAGGAGCACATGCGCCGTTGTCCGAGGGCCATCGAGCCATCTGGCCATCACCCACCGCAGGATGGCTCCGAGTCCTTCAGCCGCGATGCTTTCGAGATCGTTTCGCTCTTCCGTGATTGAAGCTCCCGGAGTGTCGCAACCCACACGGCGATTGCGCCCGCTCTCTCGTCCGAAGTCAGGAAGTATTGACAAGCGACAAGCTTTTGGGTGGAGTCGAGACGAAGAAAGTTTAGCCGCACATGTGTTTTGGGCTGAACCTAGATGCCAAGGCCCGTTTCCCTTTCTAAGCTTTCGGGACATTATTCCACTTTAGATGCCAAGATACGTGGCTCTCTCGCTCGGCCGCGATTGCGCTGTTTGACGCGAACCTGTCCGTTCATAGGGTGCAGCAAGGCAGGAGGAAACAAACTTGGCTGGATTCGAGATGGAAGCCACACTAGGGCCAAGTTGGTGATAGCTTCCTGCGAAGCGGGAAGTAAACTGAAGATGTCACGCTTCATCTCAATGACCTAGTAGAAAGCAATCTGAAATCCGGCCGCCTCGCATAACCCGAGGTTTACACCACATCAGGTAATCACGATGATCTGCGGCATGTCGTGAGAGTCAGAATTTGCTCATAGAGAAGGAGGTCACGGGGGCAGAATCACTTCATTCCGGTTACCGAGACCGTGGCGCCACAAAGTCGCCGGTCGACTGGGACGAACTCTGCAGATCAGGGCGATCATATCAGGGCAAAAGATGCCTCTTGCATGGTCCGTCAGACCGCATTCGTAACATGAGGCCTACGTCGGGCTTCTCCAAACGAATAGCAGGGCACCCTCCACTTGGGCCCCCGAAAACGAGGCTCCACATCCGTACCAGGACAAAGTGAGTAGCGGATGCTCATCCGGTGTCTGGCAGACTGTAAACACGCTACTCGCGGCTCCCGCCGCCCTGCGAGGCGTGCGGCCGGCCTCCACCTTTTCTCCGCGTTGCCGCCTTCCCCGCGGCAAGGTGGAGTAAAGAAAGTTTAAGCTATCGGGACTTGACATAATTCTCGCGACATAAACTCCTGACTAGTGCCGAAAGCCCTAAGCTTCTTTTTCATCGTTGTTTTAGCCATGTTGGAGGATTAAGCTTATCGCCCGCTAACTTCTTATGACGCTGCAATGCAGCAAGGGGTAATTAGGCAAGGAGATTAGAGGCAGGCGTTGAGTCCTTGGTGTCGTTGACCAGGTTGTGTCCTGGGTGATCTACCGATCATCGTCTGAAGATTGTGCTCACGACAATGTTACCACATGATCTCCGTCCGTCCAAACAACACCGCCAAGAAAGGTCCGTCGCCAAGAGCTGCCAATGATGTGCCGTTCACTGCACCGTCGATCCCTCTCCGACCGCTCGGCTCCGTTAACGACTCAAATCTTCCTTCGCATTATTCTCTCATTACGAGCCATGACTAAAACGCCCTTACTCGTCAATCCGATCTGGTCTGTTCATTGCGCGTCAACCAGCACAAAAGCAGGTCTAGCCGTAAGTAAGGCGTACCGTCTCATCACTTGCCCCCCGTTTCAAGCGCGCGCGCGTTCTAGGTTGAGGGCCACCCCGGCGCTAGTCGGAGCTTATTAACGAGCGTTGAGTCTCAGGACAACGGGACTGCAACTTCCCGCGCCTGTCTCATGCGCAACATTCTCAAGGCGCTCAAAGCGACGATGCGGGCAGAATTATAATTTGAGGCTTGCTGCATAGTACGTGCAGGCGGCAGATCACCATACCACTTTCGGCGTGACGCGTGGTCGGAAATACGGCAAGCTGAATCCCACTTGCGCCGGGTCATCCCAACTATATGCCGGCGGCATTTAGATAAGTTCCGGATATGTCCTTAAGGGTGTGCAGCGCTGCTAAATCCTAACTTGAGGCACATTACGCTTCGTCGACACGGTCGACCTCACGAATATTCTGGTCTAGACTCTTCCTATCATCCGCCTTCGCCTGTTGGCTGTGAACCTGACGATCACCTTCATACCCACTAAGTTGTAGAGTTAGCTAGTTGCACCGAGATACACACAGCCTTTGGGGGAAGCAGATGAGAACATACAATAGTGTATCCATCTGGTCAATCGTGACACCCTTGGTCTCAGGAAGGAAGAAGAATGCCCAGATGGTGGCCGTCAGCATCCAGCAGGCAAAGAAGAACCATACGCCGTAGTCTAGACTGCTGAAAATGTACGGCAACGCTTTCGTGATGATGAACTGAATGAGCCACTGGGTGAAGGCCGCGAAGGTTCCCGTAAGATTTCGAAGGGCGCCGGGGAAGATCTCAGCCGAAACGATCCAACTAAGAGGAGTTAGTATTGCCGTCACGCAATTGCACTTAGTCGCGACTTACGGAATACCGTTGAGACCGAAAGACCAACTAGGGGAGCACGTGTTAGCTTAACGTTAATTGTTTATGCAATTTCAGGGCTGAAGTTACGACTTAGAGACGAAATAAACTCACAAGACGGAATAAATCATAATAGCCGCAGTAGCAGCTTGGCCACCAGACTTAGTGGACGACGAGAGTTCACCACCTGCAGCAATGATTGGGGCCGGGTTTCCGACCTGAAGCTGTTAGAGGCTAAACCAGGATTTCGTGATCTTCCAGAAGAGGCTTACCTTTACATAAGCACCGACAAACCACAGGCAAAGTGAACACGCTAGTGAAGATATGATCGTTGGTCGACGGCGACCCCAAATGTCGATGAGAGCTCCATAGAAGATGATAGAGGCAACGGCCTTGACCAAACCATAGATTCCGGTGTACAAAGCTACGTCGGAGATACCAATAGAGCCGAAGAGTGTTGGAGAGTAGTAGTTGATAGCTGACAGTGTGTTAGAGACTGTCGATTTCGGCATGAAACGCGACAGATGTAGAGAATATTTGTGGCCAGGAATGCTTCAAACTTACCTGCGGCACCAGACATGTTCTGCAAAGTGAAGGCAGCAAACACAAGCAGAAGGCGGTTCCACATGCCCTTTCGCGACAACTCAGACAGAGAGCCGCGGATGTATGCCCAGAACCCGTTACCATAAGCCTTCGCGACGGCCGCTTCCTCAGCAAGTCTAGCGCGGATCATTTCCACCTCTTCTCGCATGTACTGATGGTCTTCCGGAAGATGTCGGAGCGCCACGAGGACCTTTGCTCCCTCTTCCTCTCGTCCCTTTCTGTAAAGCCACAGCGGCGACTCGTGCAGGAAGAAACCTCCGATGAGCAAGCCACCTGCAGGGATGAGCTGGATAGCCATGGGCAGGCGCCAGGAAGCGGAGCTGTTCGGGTTCATGTTTTGGTTAATACCGTAGTTAATCCAGAAACCGATGAGAGAGCCGGTCTGGTATGTGACTTCAAATAGGCCGGTGAGGATACCACGAATTGAGGGAATCGAT